ACCATATTTCTACCGTTAAAAACCTAGCTGCGACGTACCGGAAGCTAATTCGATCCGCTTGGTAATAAATACCATTCTTGTTTTACCGAATATACATATTTCGTGAAACGTATTTCTCACAAATACGCTTGTTAGAAGCGAGATTGGCAGCCCGTTCCTCTTGTTCTTCTCCATGCAGCTTTTCCTATCAGTAAAACCTCCTCCTTTGGTTTTTGACAAGGAGTGATGTATTTTAATCGAAGCTGAAATGTTAAGGTGATTCCAGTTTGATGAGTGATCCAGAAGAATTCAAGGAAAATTTGGCAGTCAGCATTATTGAAACATTTCTAATCGGCACGGTCAGTACATTACGTGCATTTCTTGAAATTTGAATAGAACTTTGGAATTCTACTAAGGTAGTACGAACCTTTGAGTTGTAGATAGTCAAAATTCGAAGCTACTTAGAATATCGGCCAATAAAACTGGTTAATGAGGATTTTTTGCATAGGCATAAAAATTATTTTAGACTACGTGAAATGCTCACAAAAACTCACTACGATGCTCATTACTCATCAGTAGCCGATGTTGCGAATTGGTTAAAAAAAGTTCTCATAGCGCTAGCTAAGATCTCGGAATTGGCCTTCCTTTTCAATTCTTCTCCACAAAAAACACCATAGATAGGAGAAGAATTCCTCACCGCTGACGCCTCTCATCGTTATGAGCATGGATCGGCAAACGTTCGCTCTTTGAACTGGATTAGAGTTTATTAGTTTAAGATGTGAATGCTTTCCTCCGATTAGCTAGTTTTCAATTTTGCAAAAACCTCAGTTTTCCGCGCTATCGCATTATGGGCATCCTCCAGGACTAAGCTTAAGAGGGGACAGGAGCTTCGGGAAAACGAGTATTTCAAATACGCAACCTGAGATCCCTCCTCCCTCGCCTACTGCTTAGTCCTGTTCTCAACAAAAGAAAATGTTTCCCGCGAGTTCAATTATAATGCCACCAAAATGCTCTGCATTTTACGATAGTGCCCTGTTTTGTTTCGAAAACCCAGTAGAACTGAATAGTTGCTGCCCACAATATCCACAGCCTCCAATATCCACAGTCGTCAAATGCTTGTTGGATGAGTTTTTGTATCAAATTTTCTTTTCCGTTGGAATCAATTCATGCGAACTCTCCGCTTCCAGCATGAGCATAATGTTCAATCCCAACTTCATTATGAGCCTGTGGCTTGTTGATCAATCCCAACCACATCGAATTACCGTGGAACTAATTAGATATGTGAAAAATGTGTGCTTGAGAAAGCCCGCCAAAAAAGCAGCGTGACAAACGCTAGAATATTTGACAAAAAAAATTTTAGGGGCCGGCCTTACAGTGGAATGGAGAAACCGTTAATAAAATCTTCAAATGTGGGCTACTGTCACGGCTCGTAAAGCGTACTTGTGGTCCCACACGCTGGACAAGACGCCCTGTCGTCGAATGTTTAGCAATAGGCAACACTATGTTTCATTCGGCTACTAATTATGATGGTTCTTCTTCTTTTTTGCTCCGAGCCTCAAAACAGCATCTACGTATCCCTTAACATATTAAATGAGATATGTAAATAGAAGTTCGAGAGAGCTACCAACTAAAGATCATCTTACAACTCTCGCTTGAGAGCCCACCTCCCAATGTATAGAAATGTGACGTCTTTCTAAGTTACGCTAGGATCGAACTCATTGTATCCAATTCCTACGTATAACTGTTACATGTTGGGTTATGAAGGCAGCCGGCACTTAATCCGGTGTGGTCACACGCACAAGCCCGCAGCTGAGCTGGAGTCCTTTAACGAGGAGAAAATCCGCTAAAATGCGCAAAATCCGACCTCCGAACGAGCTACCCAGCTTTTCTGCTTCTTTCGGAAATCACGCCAATTCAATGTAAGCAATAAAGAAATTATGCGGAATGAAAAACGTCTGTTTTGAAGGTGTCCTTCTTTGGCTTTATGTGTAACTTCCTATCGTTTCTGATTCTAATCCGACACAAGGCGTTCAAGAACTCCTTTGGTTATCTGGCTGCATATGGTGCGCTATCCAATTCGTGTATCCTTTTGCTGTTTCTATTGTGGGCAACACCGTGCACGTTACTGTGAGTTTCAGCACTTGTTTTCCAGCGAGAGATGTATTCGTTTTATGTTTGTTACAAATCACAAAATTACAGTGAGATTCCAGTAGAAATGCATGGGCTTAATCTGTTTGTCGGACAAGCGTCTTTACTGTTTGAAGAAACATCATTCCACTGCAGTCTTCTGATTACAATTAACAGGTATGCATCCATTCCGCCATTTTGGCGCTTTAGAGCGTAATGAAGGCGCACCTGGTTCATATTTGTCACAGCGCACGGATGAGTTGTCCTCCTGAATGTGATACTAACTGACCGACTAGGAGTTAAAGGCAGTGAGGGGAGTGAGTGAGTGAGGAAGGCAAACACTCAATGCTGACAAAAAATGAAAGCAGTGGTGCCACTGGTGTTCATATTGCATGGTTAGTAGTGAATTGTCGAATAACCCTATTATTTCCTCATTTCGTACATCATTTGTTTTTTCTCTACACCTGAAAACATCTGCAACACCCTGATGAGTAACACTAAACACATTGAGTGGACTTCTAACGGCTCTCACAAAGCAACGTAGAAAAACTGGGTGGTTTTCTGATTTCACAATGACCATAATCCGATCGATACAGTTGGCTCAATTATTCAAACAGCTTTATCATCACAGATTTGTCGCAGTGATTTTTCCTGCGTTCTATCGGAGCATGTTCAGCGAACGGGTCACTCCAATACTATTGCTGATAATTTCATTCATCTGTTTGCTATACTTCAGTATTTACTTCATAGGTTAGATTGATATTTTGACTTGAAGAAATGATAATACCTTGAATGTCTTCTTCAGATGGTTGCAGCTTTTACTATGACCACCAGTACAGCGTCTGGACGTTCGGCGTGGAGCCGTGCAGTCAACGAATGGCCTTCTACATCGATATGAGTTACAACGTCTCTGTATTTATACTCATATGCATCATTGATGTGATGGTGTTCCTGCATTTGAGATCAGCAACCAAAGTGCACCCATTCGACAATAACATACATCCTTACTTTGATGCCCTTCCTGAGGTTGCAAATTATTTTCAGAGAATGATATCGCTCACTGGAACCGAAGCTGAAGCACACAACAAGAGGCGACTAAGAAAGGAAGCTCAGTTATTCACTCAGGTGTGTCCTACTCCATGGGATTCTTCATATGGATATACAAACATCGATCGTAGATGGTACCTGGGTAATCCCAAACCTATCTTGAAAACTAAATTTCTATAATTTCGCAGCTGTTTTTATATGTCTCCTTTTATATAGAAATAAAGAAGTAAAATGAAGGTCATAAAAAAGCTTCTTCTCCAAAAAAGCATATTGGAAGGAGGAAAGTTTCTGAAGTTGACCACTCAGTCCTCAAAATGTGCTACACCACTTTCTTTCAGAACAGCAGTGGCAAGAATTCGTGTTTGGCATCCATCACACAATGAATTTTAAGGGAATGTCACAAGTCGTGGTTTTATTGTGAGACAAATCAGGTGCCAATTATCAGACCACAAACGATGAAAAGTTCGCTGCTAAGTAGGTACAACCAAACTAGACCTCGTCTGCCTGAAGGAAATGCATTTTAAAAGTGATACGATAGGAAAACCCAAACAGGGACGACAAGCTATTGCGTCAAAAGTTTGGAAGAAAAAATTATAGAGTGCCTCAAAATGTGCCACCCATTCAACCAAGTGAGTAATGAATAGCTTAACAAAAACACAAGAACAACATATTACCTATTATTTATTTGTTCATTCATTTGCCACGTTGCATAAGGGGCATGTAGGAATCGAAAGCATCGTGAAAATGGCACAGTGCACTTTTAATTATTGCATCTCAGCAATTCCTTCTTCAATACATTTGGTTAGGCTCTGCAACAATATAATTACCTCTCTCGAATAAAGTTTTTTGTGCAAAAAAATGCAAAATATCTTTTTGCAGTCATTCTTGAGCTCCTGTATGTATTCGTTTATGCTGTTGTGCTTCCACCTAATTACTCGAGTGATGCCCAATGGTTTCGGCCTCTTTATGTGTACCACGTTTGTATGGGCACTTTCTCACACCGCTGGAGGGTAAGCATTTCATAATTCCATGACAATATCATTAGCGGCGTGTGATATAGGTCCAAGGTAGTGCATCCCACGCAAACCCCATACGGGTAGAAAGACTATTCTTTTATAACACAATGGGCAATAGTGAACTGCTCTACACACATATTATGACCGCTAGTAGTCAGTGCAAGGGTTTTCTGTTCGCAAGGGCTCGGCGGAGGGATGTAATGGTCATGAGATTTCAGGAGCATTGGCTAACTGAATCCACCATCGTGAAGCTCCATGAATCAAAATTAAGAATCGACAGATGCCAGCCGACAAACTAATTTAGAAAGCCAATCCCGCCGAGTCAATAAAATCATTCGTTTGTGAAAGCCTTACCCTGCTTCTGATATGGATAGTGGCACTCAAATGGCTGATAGGGCACTTTTGTACTTGTGAAGGGGCTACTCAGGTCTCCGTGCTAACAAACGTTTCACTTTCCAGGTTAGTTGTGATATATTTCAATCCGGAAATTCGGCGACATCTTATGGGCACCCGGCACTTCCTAAATCTTCTCAAGAATCCTGCCAGTACGACTACTATTATCATACCTATGCCTTCAGTGTTCACTGTATTGCATAAATAAAGTTTCTCGTTTTGGTCCACGTACTCTTCATATATATATTTCTTACGTACATAGTGCAGAACAAAGCGAAGGAACTGGGCACGTGGCCATTACTATCATATTATATAACCAGCAGATGACAGGAGGCCACGAATGTCTTCAAATTATTGATCAGCAAACTTTTGACAAAGGCTAGAAAGGAACTGATAATTAAAGCTAAGACCTCACAAGTAGTTCCGAATTTGGATTCAAATCGGTTTTGGCACTCAAAATAAGCAAAATATGTTTATATGGCTCAATGGAAAGGCTCATTGGAGGCGCGAACGTGGGCGTGTGCTTGTGACGTCACAGTGGCGGAGATGAGGGGGGAGGCGACAACGCGCGATGGACAGTGTTGCTGCAAATCCTGAC